ACTGTCTTGAGATGATGATCTGCTGTTCAGTCTCTACAGAGCAGATGCTCTTACTTTTACACCCTCTCACCTGAAAAAGCTGCCTAGTGTTAAACTAAATGAGGTCTGGTCTGCTGTGTTTTGGCTTGATGGAGGATCAGGGTCAAGGTTAAGGTGGGGAGAGATCTTCCTCCTTCCACAGGAACGGGCTCAGGAAGCTCATGGAAACATCCTCCTCTTGGAATCCATCATGCCACCTAATGTATGAAAAGGGAAGCAAGTGGCGTGCGTTGTGAAGGAGTGATTCATTATCATTATTTCCTGGCATATTGATTCTCTGCTTCGACAAGAAAGCTCTGTCACGCCGTCAGCTGGCGGTGACGGATGGCCCTGCTGCAAATGTGTCAGTGGTGCAACGCGGCGCCTGCTTAAACAAATGGCTGCGGGTGGGGGTAGGGGAGCAAGCAGCCAGGCGTGGGCTGCTCCGGGGATAGAGGGGTGGTGTGGCTGCATACCACTGCCTCCCTGATCCCTGGAAAGGATGGCAGGCAGGTATGGTGATGCTCTCAGCAGGCTTTCCTTGTGGATGGAGGAATGAGAGCAGGGACAGAGAAGATGTGACTTGAGCTGTGGCGAATGGGTGTGCAGGATTGTTGTTCTCACTCTACCTTTCTGACTCTAATATGCAGGTGGTTGTCATGTAACCTTTGTCCTGGTTTGTTTGGGGTTTTTTTTCCCCCCAATAAATTCATTACTCTCCCTGGTTTGTGGCTATCTGCTCCCATGCTTTCTAGAGCCAGTAAAACCATCCTTGTTTAAACTGGGACCAGTGCTTTGAAGGTCCAAGTTCACTGTTGAGCCTGGGAGGCAACATCTGTCTCCGTCCCTGCTTCCTGGGATCACAGAGAGGTTATCTAGCATCCCGCCTCTGCAGACCCTAACTTCTGGGCTCGCTTGCCCCTTGCCAAGCCACCTCTTTCTGAATTATATCTCTCTCTCCTTCCCAGTATGGCTCAGTTCAGGATCTCCATTATTTTCCACATGCCAATAGTGACACAGACATGGAGCACCAGCTGAAATGTCTCAAAAGCAGAGTTTCTCGCCAGGGCTGCAAGGGAGGTTTAAGCCAAAAACTCATTCTGAGCATCAGTAGTTCTTCCAGGAACCTGCCATGGGAGAAAAACGTGTTTCAGCCTTGGACTACTTTTTTTTTTTCCTTCTGCAGAGAGATGAAGCTCACGTACGAGACAGCATTTTTCATTTACAAAGGTGTTTGCTCTGACTCTGCAAAACAATCCTTAAACTTTGAATGTCTAAATTATCTTCACTGCTTCTCTGCAGCTCTGTTATGCTTCTGTCAGAGCTCACAAAAAATGTATTTTTTAATATCCACAGACTCCCATATATTCCCAAAGTGCTTGTATTTGGATGTGTGCTCATCCATATGCATCCTTCTTCCACCTGCAAGAATCATAGCAGAGCTGCCCTGTCTCTGAATCAACATCTCTGGAGTCGAGCAGGACAGGCAGCAGTAGCTGTCTACAAGGTCTGCTTTGGCTGAGAAGAGCCAGTGTTTGCTCCTCAAAGAGTGAGAGTAGGGTCTAGGGCAGGCAGTTGGGCAGATGTGATGAGATTCATCACCACTTTTCCTTTACAACACACCTTTCCTCCCCCCATAGCTTCACTTACATCCTTCAGTAAAAAGGATGCTCAAATCTCTAGAGGAGAGAAGATGAGTTAAAGTGTCTGCTGTGCCTTGTTGACTGCAAAGCCTCTCTGTGGTATGTTTGGAGTGGGTCTGACACTGCTGAAAATTCAGGACAGGCAAAACTCTCAATTGCTTTTAAAGCACTTTTATAAAACAAGATTTGCAACAAAGTTTTCATGTAACCCACCAACAATGCATGGTAGCATTGCTCTCCACCTTGCTTTGTGGCCCTGGGTGCTGTTGGTCATGGTTTCTGAAGGTGTTTCATCCCTGGAGTGTGTTGCCTATATTCTCTGTACTGTGTGTAGAGGAACGGTTCAAGGCTTTTTTTTTCATAAACCTGTCTCTGGTTTTGCCAGGGTCCTTGTGGTGAAGGAAGGCTGTTGGACAGTTCATGTGACAACTGTAGGTGACTTGAAATAGTGTGGTGTGACCATGTCTTCAGCCTACCATCCCAGGTAGCCTCTTGTCTGCCTAAAGCTGCCTGTCAGTCTGTCATCTTCTTTTCATCTTGATTTATCATCCAGCATAACTAGGTTTCAGAGTTTCATTTTTGGCCTTGCCACCTCCCAGGGACAGGCAGATAAATCTGGCCTGCAAATGTTTTAGCTCTCTGGTTCCAGGAGTGAGAAACTCTTTTGCTTCAGGGAGTGAGAGAAAACACAACCATTGGGTCAGGGCTGCTGTGGTCTTATTTGGGATTGTTTGGTAGAGGTTTCCAGTTTGCCCAGCACCACCTCACTCAAGGATCATGCATCTGTGGAGCACCAGTGCTAGGGCAGGAGAGCACAACTTGCCTTGTTGGAAACAGTACCAGTTCAGATCTTAATATTGGATCATCGCTACTTGTAGTGTTAATACATTTAATTTCTGTAAGAATTATTTAAGGAAAAACTAAGGTTATAAATTTTACGTGCTTAAGCCAAAGATTTCTATGCGACATTTAGGGAATCCGCAGGAATTCTGTTCCTTCAGTGCTCCCTGCCAGAAAAGCACATGTTGGGACAGTGAAGAGCCTGTGGGTCTCTAACTGAAGAGATGCTCTGAGGATGGGGTGCAAGCCTGGGGGTTCCCCTGAACTGTTCCTGTTAGTGTTGGTGCAGAAAGCAGGGCTTTGAGCCAGTGGTGGGACTTGGGGAATAGAAATAGTTCACTCAGGAGCAGGTAGATATTTACTGTCTCATGTGCAGAGAAAGAGGTGTGAGATTTCTGCAGTCACACCTCATCCAGATACAGGAACTGCTCAGGGTTGGGCTTCAGAATCCAACGACCCCTCCAAAGCGAGAGGGACAAGCACAATCTTGGTGTATTTCTAGAGCTGCCTAACCTGTTTTGTCTTGTTGCTCTGGGGAAGCAGAGCAAGCCTGGGGCATGCAGCCAATGTTGCATCACCTGGCACAAAGCATGCTCAGGTTATCTTGCTATAGCAGATATGGCTGGCAAGCATCTCCCCTCTGGGGAGCACAACAACCGTACCTGTGTTCATGGTGCATCTTGCTTGCTGGTTTGAGTGAAGGTGAGGGGAATTGAGCACCCCCAGAACAATGAGCTGTTGCTTTCCTTAGCCCTCTGTGACTGATCTTGGGGATGTAAATAGAGCCCAGCACACCCAAAGTGGCCTGGTCCTCATGGTGAAGGAAGGGATCTGCTGTCATCAGTCCAGTGTTCATGGAGAGCTGTTAAACTTGTCCTGTCACTGGGAAGCAGTGGAAGCGAGAGGTTTCCTGAGGCAGCAGGAGATGAAATGTGGTACAGGCTTGGTAAGGGCTCAGCCCAAAGCTGGTGTTTGCCGCAGGAAGAAAAGGGAGATTGCTGTGAGAGGAGAAGCTGGGGGTGTTCAGTTAAGGTTAATCTTTCTGGGGAGAGAAGAGGCTGCGTTTGCTAACTGCTCTGTAAGTATCCTTCCAGTCCCATCCCTGGCAGGGTTCCCCTCTTCAGCTGCCTGTGTGAGGCAGAGCAGTGCTGGGCACAGAGCAAGCCAATGTCCTTGTCACCCCCCTGCGAGCCTGCGTGGATCTCAGCACTGGTGTCCAGGCTCCTCTGAGCTTGGCCGCAGGACTGCGCTGCTCTGTTTAATTCCTCTGTATTTATATTTATGGCATTCCGAGTTATCCGTAGTAGTAGTGTCAGCACTTTGTTATTTTTTTTTCATTACCTGATAATTCATGGCTCTGCTCTGACACCTCAAACCAGAGCAGGAGACGGCTCTGTGCAAGCTACAGTGACCCATCCATTGCCAGCATCAGGCTGTAAATCCTGCTGCTTGCTGCCCTGCCAGGCAGGATTTTTTCCCTGGCTCCTTGTTAAATCCAGCAGCTGATGATCATCTTTTCCAAGTTGATGTGATTTCCGTGACACTAGAATTAGTTTTCTGCTGGTTTTATGTGCCATGCTAGGAATAACAGTCTAGCAGTAACTGCTTCTGGCTCAAATTTCCACCAGTGGAGTAAATAAGGGCATTAGCCCAATCTCCTCAATTCATTTCTGTCCATAGCATGTCACTTTTTGTGATAAGCTTTGTAAAATGTTGTTAGGCTTTTCCCTGATACAAGCGAAGGGTAGACGAGCTGACTTTGTGCCTAGAAGTGATGAATTTTAATAGCAGTCTTTCAGTGCTGCTTTAGTCCCTTCCAGACTGGCTTCTCCACCCTGGGATTAACTCCAGACAGCCAGTGCCTGCTGCCCGGGAAATGGCTGACTAGTTCTTGCTCTATCGTGCTTGACAGATCGCAGAGACAGGAAAACTGGGCAGTATCTGCCGCTCCTATGCATCTGCCTGTGTGTGCAGATGAGGTCTTAGAAATATTAGCCCAGTTGCAAATGTGTAGGAATATGACTGGGAGTGACTCTGCAGCCAGGTTTAACCTGCTCTTCCTTTAGAGGTCAAAGCTCAAACATCTCTAAGCCATTTCTAAATGGTGATATTTAGCCAAAATGCATGGCAGAAGCATCCATGGACTGAGAGCCTTGAGGGTGATGGGCTCAGACAGCCAACTTAGCCTTGTACTTCTGAAGTGCCTAAGGAACCCGTTGCTATCTGTGGTAAGAGGGTGAGTCCCTGCTGGAAAGAGACTGGAGGGAGTTGTCTGCCAAAGGCAGTCCTGAGCCCATTCCCTTATCTGCTGATTAGCACTGAAAGCAAGTAGTGATTAATTCCTGTGCACCTTGCCTTTGATGTACATCTTCGCCAGAGATAAGGAGATGCTCTTGTGGAGCAGGGGAGAGTGCTGGTGCCAAGACTGATGGTGCAGACGGGAGGCGGGTGGTGGGGAGCGCAGACCTGGGCTTGACCTGAAACCTTCTCTCTCTCCAGCTTTCATCCTCATGATTATTCTGGCCCTCATCCGCATCAGCAGAGGCCAAGCTGAAGGTCACCCATCCATGGCCCAGCTGTCAGGCATCCGCAATCTCTTTGGGGTTTGCGTCTACTCCTTCATGTGCCAGCACTCCCTGCCATCCCTCATCACGCCCATCTCCAAGAAGAAGCACGTCAACAAGCTCGTGCTGCTCGATTACATCCTGATCCTGGCTTTCTACAGCCTCCTGTCCTTCACTGCCATTTACTGCTTCCGCAATGACACCCTCATGGACATGTACACGCTCAACTTCACCAACTGCGAGATCATCAACGTTGCCTTCATCCGCTACTTCCTGGGCCTTTTCCCCGTCTTCACCATCAGCACCAACTTCCCCATCATTGCGGTGACCCTGCGCAACAACTGGAAGACCCTTTTCCACAGAGAAGGGGGGACCTACCCGTGGGTGGTGGATAGGATTGTCTTTCCTGCCATCACGCTGATTCCCCCAGTGCTGGTGGCTTTCTGCACCCACGATCTCGAGTCCTTGGTGGGGATCACGGGAGCCTATGCTGGGAACGGGATCCAGTATCTCATTCCGGCTTTCCTGGCGTACTGCAGTCGGAAGGACACTCAGCTGGTCTTCGGCAGCGGGACGGTTAACAAGCACCTCTCCCCTTTCCGGCACACCTTCTGGATTGTGTTTGTGCTCATATGGGGCTTTTCTTGCTTTGTGTTTGTGACTGCAAACATTGTCCTGAGTGAGTCAAAACTCTGATGGGGGTGGTAGTGGTATGGTCCCTGCTGGGCTCCAGAGACCTCAGCATTTCAGCTCCCCCTCTGGGACTGTAGAGAGGGGGAGAGGCAGCATGAAAGGAAGTTTCCAGGCCGTTGGCTTGGTGGCACAGGTTAGACCTGGACACACAGATTTTCTTCACTCCATTTTGGGTATGGATGGAGTGGAGTCAGCCTTGTTATAATCCTGCCTCTCAGACAGAGCCATGGGGCTGAGCCCTTGGCAGCCTGCACGATTAACGAGTGTCCAGCCATTTCTGCCTTCAGCTCTGTTGGAGCATCACTTTCTCCGTCCCTACAGTGGCTCTCTGTGTGCTGCAGGTCTCAGCACACAGAAGAGCAGACAGGCTTGGCTGCTCACTACACTGATCCACTAAATGTCCCTGCTCCCAAAGACAGGGAAGTGCTCTGCAGTATCCAGCAGGAGTTTAGGGGAACTGAGTCTCTTCTGTCTGCTGAGACCCTTCCCAGCTAACCTCCTGTGGCAGATAAGGGAAGAAATTAGGGTGGGAATAGCCCTATCTCAGAAGAAAATAACTGTTCTGTTACATTTTCTTTTTCTAGAGGCATTAACCTGTTTTGTGCACCTTGGATTGCCTGGGATTGGAGATCTTTAGCTTAAAGCTGGATTTCTCCAGCCCAGGAGTTTACATTCATACTTCTCACTCTGTTCTCCTGTTCTGTGGCAGCCCCAGGCAGACAGAGCACTGTCCCTCTGCACGCAGGGGTACAGCTCTTCACCACAGCCTTGCTTCCCTTGGCTCCTGCATGCAGCCCCTTTCCCCTTCGCCTGGGGCCGGTGCAGCAGCCCAGACTCTGACTCCAGTGCTGGGGATCTGTGTCTGCCAGGAAGGTGCTAATTACCCAGTCATGACACGTGTGAGGCCTGTGAGAGCTCTAGCTGCGCACACCGATGCATTTCCAGCCTCCTGTGCTGGGTAATTAGCCTTGAAACGAGGTGGGTGTTAACTCGAGGGATGGGGCTGGTGCCGGGAGGCACTGATGGTGCCCTGGATCAGCCTGGTGCTACAGGAGAACAAAACCTGAAACCCTGCTGGAACTGGGCTTGAATCCCACCCTCTTCTCTTGTGCACCGGGTTAAGGTGGGTTTTGGGCTGGTCCTTATCTGAAAATTGGGCTGCCTGTTACCTTAGCAGCCAGTGCTTCCAGTGAGTCTCTGCTTTTGAGGCTCCTGGTGGTCACTTTAATACTACACGGTGACAAAGGGCACTGGGTCCCATGCTCTGAGTCCCTCAGGGAAAGATCATACGGATTTTGTAACAAAAGGAAGAACTTTAAAAGTTTTCATCTGAAATATTTTAAATCCCTCCCTTATCAAAGCCAGTTCAAAGCCAGGTGCATGTCACTTGCGTTCGATCCTCTTGCCCTCTGCACTTGCTGCAGTATTAAATGTCACCGCTCACTTAAAGCAAGCTTTGAACTGCAGCTCTTTTTAATCAAGCTCAGTTTTCAAGTAGGACTTTCTGGTTTCCATATGACCTGAAGTGCTCCTCTGGGGGGAATATGCAAGTACCTGGAGCTGTATAAAAACACTTCATGGCTTTCAAAGCAAAACCCTGCACCTCTTGAGCCTGAGCACTGCCGCTGTGTCCTTGCTGAGCTGCTCAGATAGGATCCGGGGGCAGTGTTTAGGATCAAGCTGGAGCTGAGACAAACAGGCATTGGCAGCCCTTGCTGGTGAATTTAAACATCCCCAGGTGCTCCGGGGAAGCTGATGTGGCATCTTCAGTGCCAAATTAGCAAGTTGTTTTACAGGTAGCTGGTGCTGGTGTCTCATTTAGGAAAGAGGGACAGTTGTTTTGTAGGTTGGAAGGTAAATTCATGGGGCAGCTGAGCTGAGAGCCACCTGTGAGGCAGCTGGGACCCGGACAGAGCTGGAGGGAGGAATTTAGTGTTGCTGGAATGAGCCTTTGGAAAGCTGGAGAGGCTGTGGAGGCTGCTCTGCTGCACAAGTGCACAGGTGGGGGTTTACAGAGGGGGCCGAGGCCCTTCCTCCTGCACCGCCTGTGCTCTGCAAGGTGCTTGGCTCAGCCTCCACCCTGTCAAGTGCCCATTTCGATCTCTCGCCTTCACATTTCATTGCCAGCTGGAGAACGGGGCTGTTTTCTGGTATTTCGTATCTCCTCTCACCCTCCCCTCCCCTCTTAGGGCTGCCCTGCATGTTCTGCAGGGTAGCCTCCCAGCTGCCTGCCCTGAGGGGTAGGGAGCCCATCCTGGCACACCCTTTCCTGCCCTCTCACGTTTAAAGATGTGCCTTCTCTTCCCTGGCCTGGCTGACCCCCTCTCCTCCTCAGCACGCGTGGCAGTGACTTCGAAGTGGCCTGAGCTCTAAGAGCTGCTTGGATCCAGATTTTGGATGCAGTGGCAACAGTGAAGGCTCACATCCCGGCCCCAGTCTTTGCTGTGGTACCTTACCGAGAAGGACTCGGGTCCCTGAGGAGCACAAGAGCTTTCTTAAATAAATAACCATGAATTCCCAGACACCCACTGTCCTTGTGCAGCAGCAAAACAAATCTATCCGAGGAATCTGGGTGATTAACGGAAAGAAGCTCTACGGCAGAGAGAACGTTTTTCATATCAAGCATGACATAGCAATGCCTTCAAAGTTACTGGAGAAAGGGGGAAGGGGATGGCTCAGTGGAGCCCAGGGGGATGCTGGGTGACCCTGGCTCAATGCAGGGCAGGAGCTCCTTCCTTTCACCCATCACAAATGGGTCTATTTTTATTTGGCCATTATCAACACTAGCAATTCATTATTGCAGACTCTCACATGATGCTTGTCCTGACTGTAATTAGTTTTCAAAAAATGGGATTAAAAACAATAAAATGCACATTATACATCTGGTTTAGCCTGGCTTTTTTTTCCACCTCCTTCCTCATCTTGCAGCACCGAGCAGCTATTCCAGGAGGGGATGGCTGTGACTGATGGGGCTGCGGGCCAAGGAGAAATGGCAAGCGGAGAGGCTAATGGAGACCCTCACCTTTTCTTCTCTATTAGTCTCCTGCAACTCTAGGAGGTAGCTGCAAACTCAATTAAAACATCTGTACTTTCCCCTTCTCAATTACGGCTCCTTACACTTAAACCCAAACAAATTGAATTGCTCCACCGCCTCGGGCTGCAAAGGCAGTTTCTGCCAACAAATTTATTATCACCATAAAGCGCAGCTTGATTTATGTTAAAATATTAAAAGAGATCTTTATGATGGAAATAAACACTTTCTGCTGTGATTCTCTCGAAGGACCTTACAAGCGGCAGAGACTTTCGGGGCTTGGGCCATAAATCTGAAATCAAACTGGCATCGAGGATGAATTTGGTCTTTAGCAGCCCTTCGAAGAGCAACAGCCAGGGAAGGAAAAGGCAAAACCTCGAGCCTGAGAGGATGGTTTGGACAAGGCTTGAACATGGCTAAGGAGCAGCTGTCAGCAGCTTGGGGAAGGGTACCAGGGGTGGGCTGTGGGTGCTGCTGGCAGCCCAAGGTGATGCCTGGGTGGCTTTGTGCTGGGGTGAAGGGCTTCTCCCACCGAATCAGGAGCCAGCACCCAGCTGGCTCCTGCTGACCTCCCCAGGGTGCTGCAGCCCCTGGGGCTCTCCCCAGCTGGGGGAAGGCAATGGGTGGGCATGCAGCAGGGCAGGGAGGTTCAGCGCCCTGGCTGGTGCCAGGGGGGTGGATGGGACCCCAGTTTTGTGCCATGGATTTGGCCTAGCAGGAACCAGGAAGTGACTGTGCTTGCTGCTCCCTCCAGCACCCTTGGGTATAGGCGTGGCACATCCTGCTCTCCTTATACTGGCACCAACACTTTCCTGTATCTTTTCTGGTTGTACCATTCAGGATTTGTCCTGCTGTCCCCACCCTCACCGGAGCCACCATCTACCCATAGCAGTGCCAGCACCTCCTTGCCATTGGAAACCTCTTCCCCATGGCTGCCCCACGCTGGCCTGCCTTGTTCCCCCTTTCTTCTGCAGGCTGGGGCTCATGACACTGAACAATGGGAACAGTGAAAATTATATGTGCCACAGCGATGCTGGAGCTGGCAGGGGGTGGGCACTGGGGGAGGCTTTTGGCGGGGGGCACTGCCTGCCCACCCCAGCAGAGCCGAGCCCAGGAGGTGAGGGGCAGCAGTGAGCTGCCCGTATTTCTTTTTGCGCGTAAACAGCAGCTCACTTGTCCCAGGGTGGCAGGGGTGCCAGAGCTGGCTGAATTAAAAAGTGATTGATTAGACAATTTCACCAAAAAGAAATAATATCCCTCAGTGGCTGTTAAGCACTAAACTACCCAACCCCTGCTTTGGAAAGCCGGGTCAGGGGGTACTTCCAGGCTGCTGCTTCCCTGCAGATTCATCTCTGGAGCACCCTGGGGCCAGGGGACGCTGCAGCAGCAGCACAGGGCACCCTCAGGAGGGCACACAGCTCCCACCCACTTTGGGCTGCTCATACCCCTGTGCCCCATCCAGCTCCTCTCCTACCAGTGCCCACATTAGCACCTGGTGCAGGGAATGGGAGAGAAGCGCTGCTCTTCCATCCCAATTAGCATTTAAAGATGATTATGCGAATACCACCATGGTGGCAGGGGACCTGCATGCTGGTGCCTGGTGCCCACATGGGGCACCTAGGACAGTCCTGGCCTTACCCCGGGTGCTGACACCCATCCCTGGGGCAACATCCCCAGGGAGCACCCATGGCACCCCCATTGCTCACTGCCCTCAGCCTCCTGCAGCTCAGCCCTTCAATAAAACATGAAGCAAATCCATTTGGCCTCTGCTGAGTCATCGGGGACATCACTAATTAATACAAAACGTGGGTTGAGGATTTTTGATTTTTTTTTCCTTCCCTTTTTCGGATCCCTTTTGTTCTCACAGCCCCGACCCCAGTGCAGGCTTCTGACTTCAAAGATGCAGCTGTGTGTGCTGCACACAGCAGAAAGCCACTTCCTTGGCCCAGAAAGCCACAGTTTGGCGGGGGGG